ATTTATTAATTTAAATAAACTTACAACAAGATTACATTTCAAATTAAGCGCCCAGCGTTTATGTTTAAGGACAATGTTAAGCTTAACATTTATGTAAAGGCTAAGGCGCATCGAGCTGTTAATTGCCAATGATAACATTAATTCTGTCTGTTGCATAGCAGCAGGAAGTCAGTGTGGGAGAGCATAAAATGCAAATCAAACGGGAGGACAAACCAAATTGAATTAGGTTCTATGCTTAACGGTATTCTTAATTGCCAACGTTAAACTTTCATTGGTGTATTGAAACCGGAAGACGTGAAAAATGAATATAACGGTAATGATGCGATCAAGGATAAGTCAAGTTGAATGTGAAGTTCAGCTGTCAGCAAGGGGCTAGCAAAAACAGAAAGAAACAAAATGAATAGCGATGCATTAACTAAGGCCAGAGCCATCATTTTGCAACGTTGCAATTTTCAATTGAAAACCAGTTTTAAGCACACACACATGCACACACACCTGAAACTAGAAGATAGAAAGTGCAGCTTCTAGTTTCTGATAGCAGCATCTTCCTGTATGAATTGGCAAGAGAGTTGGGTGCATTCTCCGCTGCCTGCTGCCTGCTGCTTAGTGGCTTATTCGATGGGTCAATGAACTCACACACTCTACTCCAAGCAGCTCAAACAAGATGCCGTTACTTACAATAAACAACAAACCACAGCAGTAGTCAAAGTAATTAGAACGTTTTACAATGACTCGCGTTATTTTCCTCAAACAGCTATATGTAGGTTATAATGCTAAGCTAACTGGATGTGCTAAATATTATATATATGTACTTATATATGTATAGACATTCTTTATATAATATATATATCAAATATCAATTAATACTACCCACATAATTGACAATTTTCTTTAGCATATGTAGCTCTTGCCAGTGGCGTAGCGAGGTAGTAGATAATGTTTGGAGGGGGCTGATAGACATTAGACTACTGGGTAATTTGCATTTTCAACTTTAAAAAAAATCCGATTGTGGAAATTGTAAACTTAAATATAAATTATCATACATTATTGAACGAAAATAAAAATCAAACAAAACCAAAAAAAGTGTACAATAATACGATTTCACATTTCTAGATGAATTTGATTAGCCGATTCATTTCAAGCAGATTGTCGACTCCGAGAACTGGGGGATAGAAGTGTCACAGCCCTCAAGTCGAGCACCCCTCTTCCACTCTCTTAGCTACTGGCTCTGGCATTGTTTAGACGCATCGAGCTGCGGTCAATGGCAGCATCTAATCAAGGTTCTCACATTGCCATTACAATGCGGAAGTCTTTTGGCCATTGAACTGAGCATCTGTCTAGCACCCAAGCGGGTTTTTCGTTAGCCATATGCAACTGGGCTACTGGCAACTGGCGACGGGCTAAGGCTCATCTTGTTTGCCTGGCTGCAGCTGTGGCTCATTCATCGCCCGCAGTCGGAGAGCAACGGTCCTGTTTACGCAAAGGAGACGCTCAGCTAAAATGTGCAAGTTTACCAATCGTTTATTTGTCCTGGCCCTGCTGCAATGCGTTGCCTTGGCCCTGGCGAAGCCACTGAAGAGTCGCAGTAGTGCCAGCGATTTAATTGATCTATTGTACAATGATTATGGTGACTATGGCTACCAGGTGGAGGAGGTTCACTACGATCAGAGGCAGAAGGGTACTGAGAACTTAAGATGGCATCTAGATGGGTTTGTTTTCGGCTTACCAGGTCGCGAGGACTACTCCTGGATGGAACAGCTCTTTGAGACATATTCAAGTGAGCAACGCTGATCGCAAACAAAAACAAATATAAAATATACAAATATTTATATTTTAGACAGTCCACTGGCAGCCATACGGGAGCCAGTCGATATATATCCAACAGAGTCTATAAGTAATAAAACAGATCAGACAACTCAAGTGGTAAATATATCAACGCCGAAGAAGGAAATCGAAAGCCGACACAGCCCCAATTCTAAACCGTCTAGTGCACCTCGGTTTGTAACTCTTACGGAAAGCCAACTACATCATTTATTTATTTATTTTTTATTTTTATACAGCACAAAATCGGAAATGGTGCAGCTTTTAAAATTGTTTCGACGTCCGCAAGCTTAGATCGCTTTAATATAAGACATAAAATCGAATTTTTAAGCTATGGAAAATAAATAATATCATTGAAAACGAACAAATGTGAATTTAAATTGAATTTGGTTAAAAATTAAATGTTGAATAATATCCGTTATATGATTATATAAATCAAAAAACCTAATCCTTGTGTTAGCGAGTATTACAGAAAAGTTTTATACGACTAACAGGAAGCAAGAACAGTATAAACTCGCCTTTAATACTGCTTGATATAGTCATCAAAGTTGTTAGACAACATCGACAAATATGTGAATAAAAAATTATTGAAAATTTTAAAAATTAATTCGGAGATGCGAATTGAAGGGAATGCAGCTCTCAGTTAAATATCACATATGATATGAGAATTTATTTTGCCGAAACATACTCTCTGTTTCAACATAATGTAACCGAAATTTGAAAATTGCGCCATTTAATCACATCATGTGAATATCAGGGCTGATACGATAAATTTATCGTTTACAAATTCAAAAAATTAACCAACACTGTTAGTAGTACGATACAAAATCACGAATTTCGATTAATAGTCGGTCAACTTAAGACCAGCTTGGCACTACTCTTCGTTTTGGCGAATCATTTCATAAACAAATAGGTGTCCGTGGAGTGATTTGCAGTATTTTCGTTCGTTCTACATCGAATATTCAAGAACCGTCGTGTCTAACTGCACGACGAACAAGACCCAGTATAAAAGCCGAAGTGCAGCCATTGCGGCTGTATACATAGTGAACAACTGCGACGCAATAGACGACATCGAAGCAAATTGTAAAACAAATAATCAGCAAATACATTCTTTTGCTGTCTACTTTGTCGAATAAAAATAAAATAAAAATACCTGAAAGAAAAAAGTAAAACTACTTGAATATGTCGGAGAAATTGCTGAAAATCACTTACCACAATGCACCAGCTGGCACAGGCAAGAAGTTGAATGCATATCTGCGAATGCCATCAAACAACTTTAGCATTCTACGTCGCGAAATCGACATGTACCTGTTCCAGGAGCGACAGCTTGCCAAATGCGAGATAAGGACATATTGGATTGGTAAATATACACATACATATACGTAGATATGATATAATAGACGAATCAACATGCGATATCAATTGTATGCACTTAAATGTGTGTGTGTGCGTGTGTGGTATGTAATCGGATGCTTGCAAGCTTGTGTGCGTGCGCATCTGTGTCAAGAGATGTATATTTGTGTTTATGTATGTATGTAAACAGTTTTGGGTGTGTGAGTGCATTTCGCAAGCATTTGTTCGGTAAATGGAAAAAGGCTAAAGTGCATTTGCCAACTCCTCGGCAAATTTCATAGGTATTCACTAAATATACAAAGTATACGAGTACATACAGATATGTATATGTATTTGCATATATACAAGTATGCGTATATAGATGACTCTGTCAGCCCTATGTGTGATTCACAAAGCAATGTATGTATATCATTATCAATAGAATTGATAGCAAAACAAAATGGCAGAACTTAATCCAGTCAAATCAAATGATTCACGATATTTATATATACAAACATTTTTTTGTTTTAATCAAAAGATTATAGACCGTGTAATACTTGAATTTTGTTTACAAATTACAAACCAAACAGCGATACTTGATTTAAGTTTTTCTGACTGGCCGATACACAAGGGAGAAATGTAGATTTGGGGTACAAGTAAACGGCATTGGTTCTTGATATCACGAAATAGTTAAATCTGTCATGAAATTAGCACATTCGCTTAGTCATTGACTTATTATACAGACCCTATTTTAATTTGAGCACGCAATTCTCAGAGTTTTTAAATTACGCAATCTTAGGTAAACTAAAGTAAATTTATATTTCTTGCAGATTCCGATGGTGATGAAATAGAAGTCTTCAATCAAAATGATTATGAAATATTCTTGGCCAAATGCAAGGAGAATATGCATTTGCAAATTGCAGCTGTTGACGATGGTAAGGCTGACGCCAAGCAGGCATCAGCTGCTAAGCAAGCTGAGGATGATCCCAGCAATTTCGTCATCCATGATGGAGTCGAGTGCGATGCATGCGGCGCTCTACCATTGGTCGGCTTTCGGTACAAGTGCATACAGTGCCCCAACTTTGATCTGTGCCAGGCCTGCGAGTCGGCTCACAAGCATGCCGATCACTTGATGGTCCGCATGCCCACCAACAGTGGACCGAGTGTGGTTGAGGCCTGGCTAAGTGGTCCGAGTGCCACCTCGCATCATCATCGTCGTTCGAGCCGTCGCACTCGCGATCAGTGCCCATTCGCAGGGGCAACTGCAACTGCTACGACAACTGCTACTTCAGCACAGGCTACCCCAGCTGGTGCAGCTCCGTGCTGGACTCGTCGCGAAAGACGCCATGGTCGCCGGAATGGCAACGTATTCTCTCAATTCGTAGACATGATGATGCATTTGCCGGAGAGCAATGCAACGCCCACTGCGGCTGCCGCAACTCAGGAGGCACAAGAGCCGGAGCCAAAAGAGAAGCCAACTGTAGTGAATAATGACAAATCTGAAGGAACCCAGAAAACCGAGAAAGTAGGGGAGTCGACTGACGTCCCAGTAAAGCAAAAGCAAGCAGCTTCAACTGAAGCAAATGCTGAAGCAAATGCACAAGAGCCGGTGGCTGCTCCTCGCAGCCCCAAGGAGCAAGCCCAGACACAGGCAACTGCCACGCCTACTCCGAATAGCACACCAACAACCCCAGTAATCAGTCTGGAGAATTTGGCACAGGTTGTCAATCCCGAGTATATGCGTGCCGGTATTGAAATCTTGAACAACTTTAGCGAAATGTTTGCTAAAATAATTGATCCCAGTGCAGCAGCCGATTTTGGCTGTGCCGAGACCTCCATGGCTTCAAATGGCTCAACGGCCTCTGAGAAATCTGAGGCTAGCAATGGAGTACAGGCGTCTGCTCCAACTGCTGATGCAGCTACAGCTACAACTGCAACTACAACTACAACAACTACAACTGCCACTGAAACTGAAACTGTTGGCGAGCCAGTGGCACAGACGACTAATACCCTGGTGGAGGAACGACGCCGATCGGAGAGCTTGGATCAGGATTGGCAAATGATTGATAACACGGCCTCGCCCATGGCCAATGTCTCTAGCTCGGATGCATTGATCAACTTGAGCAACACAAACGCGACCACAACTGATTCACCGGTGACCCCAGCCCGTGATTTCGCGCAATTGGGTGAGATGTTGCGTCAGCACGTGAACGAGGAACAGCAGCGGGAACTGGCAACAGCTCACACCCAAACCTCCCAGGTGAGCACGGTCAGCACATCGACTTCAACCACAGCTGTGGCCACCAACAGCACCTCGACATCGACAGCGGGCAATCCTCCAGCCCCTGAGCAGAAGCGCCAAGTGCCCATCTATCATACTGGTTAGTAGAAATTTATACTCGATGTGCATCAATTTTATTCAAAATTGTCATCCATTTCACAGATGAACGCATCAATAACGCAGTGCACGCGATGATGGCCATGGGCTTCAGCAATGAGGGAGCCTGGTTGACGCAGCTGTTGGACTCAGTGAAGGGCAACATACCGGCTGCATTGGACATTATGAATGCATCGCAAAGTGGTCGCAATTGATTCATTTTGTCGCATATTTATAAGTTCATTCATTTTATCTTCGACAATTAATATTAGCTTCAGGCATATTATGTCAATTTATGTTATCTTTGGTGAAGTGTTTTCATTCGTTTTACGAAACGAATGATAATCAAGTATATAATCTATGTGTAAATGTATATGTTGCAAATAATCAAAATATTGTTATCCCATGGTATCGTGTATCAAAATAACAAATAAAAGCTATATAAATCTATGTATATACTGAAAAGTATTTAATCAAATTAAAGTAATGGAAATGAACAACATTTAACTTCCCGTTAAGCTAATGCCACACTTCTCTCATTATTAAGCTAACAATTTCTCGCGCAAATCTCCTAAATTCATAGTTCATTGTTGTGATCAGTGCAATAAATGTAAACAGCTTGAGCAGCCGGACATGGTGAGCTTTCCATTGGCGGCGAGCGAAGCCAGTGTTGTAGCTGAACATCTGTGAAGTCATCAGTGTTGCAAAACTGCCGAGAGCGCAAAAGCGATGAACGAGCTGTAGAGATTTGTTTGTGTAGAAATATAACGGCAGGCCGCTGAGAATGCAGCACAGCAGCAGAGCGCACCCGACAATGCCTATGGAGAGTGAGCGAAATAGAACGAGAGAGAGAGAGAGAGGGCATATGTAAATAGGCTGCTTGCATTTTAAGCGAGTGCCTTTGCACTTACCAGAGAATCCGTGATTACTGCGGAAGTGCCTAACCGTAGCATTTGGATCTTCGCGCTTGCGCTCTCGCTTCTGCAAGGTTTTGATGCCAACGCCGCCAACGCCGATGCCAAAGGCGAGTAGGCCAAGAGCACTGTGCAATAGATCCACATTAGATATGCCCAGCCAGAGCACCAAAATTCCACTGTGACGCACAAGCAGAGCTTCGCCCAGAAAGAAAACAAACTGACGGAACAAACGAAATGTAAATATTCGAGAGCTACAATATGTAAATATATAGATGCATACATACATATGTACGTATGTACAGACATACATATACATTGTATGTACTTACAGCCACTGTACAGTAGAAGGCATGCCCCGCTGTGTGCACCATCTTGAGGGAGACGCATTTGTGTACTATGACAGCTGTGACGCCCGCCAGCAAGAGGTGCGAGATCAAGGCACAGAAGCCAAAGTAAAACACGGCCGAGGATATATCGAAGCTCAAGGATTGGGATTGCGTGCCCTCCAGAAGCTTTCCATTCGTTACATTGTCATCGGCATGTTCCTTCAATGTCCTGACATAGGCCCACAGATCTGGATTCTCGCAAACATCACGCAGTCCCGTCGCACTGCAGCCTGCCATAACTTGGGCTGCCATAATTTCTGTGTTTTTCCGACTTTAACAAGTTTTATCTATTACGTGCGAGACGCGCGCTCGGCCGATAAGAAATTCGCTGACCGCGCACTTCGACTGTCGAATAACATTTGAAAGAACGCTGGCAGAGCAGAGCGCGCAGAACAGCTGTGTGGATCACATCTCGGAGAGAAGTTTGTGTGCAAAAAAAAAAAAAAACATTAATAATAATGTAAAATAAACTTTCAAAGCAAATGGAGCGTGACTCAGCGCTCTTGCACGTGCTTCACCTTGGACACCAGCCAGGTGCCGCTTGTCGGATTGGCATCGCTCGCATTCTACTTCCATATTTATGTACATATGTATGTATTATAATGTTATTTTCGGTATATTCTAAACCGGTTTGTATAATGATCTGTCCAATTCGCCAACGGATTGCGCTCTCTACGTCATTGACAACAGCTGACAGTCACAGTCACACAGTATTTACAGTGGTATTTTGGTCCACTCTAAAACTGTTTCTATGATTCATACGAGTGTTTGTGTTATGAAATGCAAGCTGAAAGCAACTGCTTGATAAACCAAATACCACAAGAGAGCACACAAAAATAAGCAATACGTGCGGTAATAACTTTCGGTAATAGGGTTTTGCTCAATACTAATCTGAAATTATTCTTTATTAAATAATTAAAAAAAAAATTTATTGAAAATTGTTTGTTATTAAATTAATTGACTGATATATGTAGGTACATACATATCTATGTACATAAAATAAATTAATAAAAATCAACTTTTAAAATTCTAGTGATAGAGAAAAATACAGTTAAAACTAGTTTAATTAATTTTAGATAGCTATTAAAATTAGATATGTACATATGTATCATGTTTAGTAAGTGCATTCAGCTTTTTATCGAACTGGGGGACTTATACATCTCACATAGACGACGCAATATACATATGTATGTATGTAGTTTTTCAGGGCAATGCGAAATGAAAGAATCAATGACGTCATTCGAGAGGGAATTCCCCACGCTTGCGAGCAACAGCAACTCAGATACAGAGCGAGAGAGAGAGAGAGAGGGATATTTGATATTGGCATTGTACGCCTGTTCTATGAGCACTCTCCATCGAGGCGTCTAAGCAGTTAAACGCAGCGATTGCATTTATAAACAGAAAATCGAGTATTACAAGTTTCATAACTTAATAAAAGGCTTCATTGATCAGCGAGTAAAATAGAATATTACCAAAAATATCTTTCAAAAAGTTTACAGGTAATCCAAATAAATGATTTCGTTAAATTTAGTTAAATATTGATGTAAATATCAGTTAAAAATAAATATTATCTTAAATATGCAATATATAACAACAAATTTGCAGGCAAAAAAAAAAAAAAAAAAAATCCATATAAATAGTAAATCTAATCTATAAAATGCGATATGTTTGTAGTCATATAAATATATGCATATATGCATGTACTTGCATCAGTGATGACAATTTGTCCTTTTTCTGGACAGATCTGCCATGTTTTTAATTGCTTCGTCCGAAAAAAATATCAAACATTCTTTATCCGGAAATCTGTCCTTATTTTGTGAATGCGAATCGTGTTCATATTCTTCCAATTGGTTGGCTGTTTTTCCAGTTGATCGGTTGTGGATGCAACAGAATCCTATTAACATTGAAGAGMACTTGAACAGAACTTTAGCATTTAATATGCTAAATTGTGTACCCATATTTAGTTAAGAACCGTGCCAAAATGCGTATAAAATTGAATTGTGTAGGTGCTTTGTATTTTCGATATCTTTTGTAATGTGTTCAATGCGAATAGAGTGATAAAATGCCCAAGGAGACTTAAGGGCAAAAAATTTGGGAATGCTGGCAACAGCAGCCAGATTTCAGGTCGTGGATAGCCCGAAATGAAGACGACAACAATAAGGCGTACTGCAGAATCTGCAAATGTGGTATAAATTGCAATTTTATAAAAAAAATTGTTTGTACTCTTTTCAGCCTTTTCAGCCTTTTTTTTTTCGTTATTTTCCAGACAAAAAAAAAAAAAAAAAAATGACATCATTGACTTGCATACACGCATGCCATTCATAAAAACTGTTCCACAAGTTTCCCTAATAGCTGATAAAAATGTAATGTATATAGGTTACATATACAGGCATATGTACATACATATATGTATGTATGTGTGTGTTCTTTGATAACTAAGACCTTGTAGATAACTAATACAAGCGCATACTGTAGATAAGTGAATATATGCATTTAGGTAAATCATGTGATTTTCAACTTGAGGACAAGATAACAACGTGAATCCGAAATTAAATAATTTCCCAGAATCCATTGAACATCGAAAATCCTTTTGCAGTAAAATAAATGCAAGCTCTTTCAGAACTATCAGCAATGGCTTCTGTGGATCCCGCAAGCTCTACCAAAGACTCGAAGACGTGTGAAGGGTAAGTCAAAGTCTTCTGTGGAATACCACACTGACAAGCCTAAATTGCCTTGTCTGATGATCCCAATATACCTATGTTCTTGACTCATGCATTTTTCACGCAGGCAATACACCATTGTTGCCTCGGAAGCCTTACGCGCTAATCGAGATTACAATGTGGCTGTCGCCGTGCACCACACCAAGGAGCCAGTTACCTTGAAGATTGGTATTACGGGACCTTCGTACAACGAAGCTCAAACAGTTGAGCTGTTAAATTCGGATGAGTTCCAGCAGATTACCTTCAAGGTGCCTGCTCTGACTTCGGGTGACTACTTGTTAACCGCAGAGGGTGTCGCTGGAATGGAGTTGAAGAACTCCAAGAAGCTCTTCTTCGAAGAGTTTAAGCCCAGAGTAAAGTTGCAAACGGACAGGAGAAAGTACAAGCCGGGAGACACAGTTAACTACCGGATTGTTTTCTTGGATGAAAACCAAATGCCTAGCGAGGCACCGGATGATTTAGTTGTACGGTTCGACGACTCCAAACGCAGACTCATCGCGATGGTAAAGGACATACAGACCCGTTGTGGAGTCTATACTGGAAAGCTTCAACTGTCCGAGCTTGCTGCGTTGGGCCTATGGACCCTTTCCGTTCAGAATTGTCGCACGGATGAGCGTGTCCAATTCGAGGTCGAGAAGTACGTTCTTCCCAGATACATCGTGAAAATGGATGCGAATCAACATGTCTCAGTCAAGGATGGCAACTTGTACGTTGTGGTAAGAGCCAAGTAAGTAGGTTTTACTTGTTTCCCCAGGGAAGCCCATAAAATTCTCATTGCTTTATTACCAGGTACGCCTATGGCAACCCAGTAAATGGCAAAGTATTGCTCAAAGTGCATAGGGAAAACTCAACTTGGTGGAGCCACACTCTAATAAGGAATACTAACCTGGTCAACGGCATTGCGAAATTTGATATAGATGTTAAGGAACTGGACAATTTTTCGCAAGATAATTTCTGCTCGTTGCACTACAAGATTTTAGCCACTATTGAGGAAGACTTTACGGGCGTTAAACTCAGTGAAACCGGCAGCTTTCAACTACATGCCAATCGCTATAAAATGATCAATATATATTCGGACACGAGACATGAGCTAGTGTTTCAGGTCACTTATGTTGATGGTACGTTGCTAAAGGACAACAAGAGCCCTGTCAAGGTAGGTCATTTGAAAAAAAATTAGTTAATAACTAACGTTAGCTTATAACCCAAAACTTTAGCTTAGGCTCTTCCCGGGCATGTATAATACTGGACACGGGATACAGGAAATAGAAGGGAACAGTTACTCGGAATTCCTGACCCAACTCAATGAGTCAAGTTTTGCTGTTTTTAAGTTGCCGCCATCAATTTTACCAAAACCTGGATACTATTCGCCTCACCACATCGCGGTGCTTCAGTTTGATGGAGAAGAGCAAACCCAAGACATAAATTCTTTCGAAGAGCCGATCAAGTGTATGCATGATGAAATAATGCGTGAATTGTGGAGTAAAGAGAGGAGTAAAGATTTGTTCAGGCTCATTGTGCAAACCCCTACGAAGAATGCGAGGTACTGTAAATCATTCTATTCGGCAAACACTTAACTGACCACCCTATCGCAGGCTCAAAATCGGTGAGGTATATCAAGTAACTTTGGAGTCTAGCCGCCCCCTGAAGAATTTCGTGTACAACATCATTGGACGTGGAAATGTCCTGCAGACGGAACGAGTCGTGCTGAGTGAGCCACAGGAGGTCCACAGCATCCCTCTGACACCCACATTCCAAATGTTACCTAACGGTCGCATTTATGCCTACTACGTGGACGACTCTGGGCTATTCCGCCATGCCAAGACTGAATTTGATGTAGAAGTCCAGCTACCGAACCCGATTCAAATTACTGCTCCAGTTGAGGTTAAGCCAGGCGCAGATGTTGAGCTAGAGATCAACACGGCGCCAGGATCATTCGTTGGTCTTATGGCCGTTGATCAAAGCGCTTGCCTTGGCGCCAACAACAACGATGTCAAGAATGACCCGTTCTCATGCCTTGGACGTTATAATATATACCCAACCAGGCAACGGCTAATTGGACTTGTGGCTATGACAAATGCCGAATTCTTCTATGATCGCATGCCCATTTACCTTCGAGAAGGTAATTCAATAATGATTGAGAGATGTTTCACTCTCATTGCAATTGAGCTTTCCCAGTTGAAAATGAATTTTTCTTTATGTGCAATTTACAGAAAGCTTTTATAGTAGCTCGTCGACAGACGAGATGATGACACGCGCAGCAACGCCAGCAGCACCAGCTGCACTTGATCGGCCTCTACCGAAGGTGCGGAGAAACTTTGCCGAAACGTGGCTATTCGAGGACATTGAACGTACGGAAACGGAGACATTTAAGTGGGTCCGCAAAATTCCTGATACAATTACAAGCTGGGTGCTGTCGGCGTTTTCACTGCATCCCGAGAGGGGCTTGGGCGTGATCAATGACCAGCTGCAAATTAAGACCTATCAGCCGTTCTTTGTGTCCGTGCGTCTGCCCTACTCGGTGAGGCGTGGCGAGGTGATCAATGTGCCGGCTCTGGTCTTCAACTACCTGCCCC